TGGCCTCAGGAACTTGGGTGTTGGACTAACCTGAGACCCTGGCTGTGGCCGCGCCACAGCAGGGATGCAAAGGCAGATGGGGAGGGAAGAAGCTCCAAGATTACCCAGGGAGTGGATTGAGTAGCTGGGTTGTACTGGATGCAAAGGATCAGGGAGAGGAAAGGTAAGCCTCAGAGCCCCAGAAAGAGGCTGTCAGCCCCAGAAAGAGGCTGGCGGGTGTTGCAGGACCAGGGAAGTAGAGGGAGGTGAGGGCGGGGCCAGGACCAGAAGCAGTGCTCCTGGGGCCCAAGAAAGGCACTGAGTTGGTCTGGGTGAGAAGGGTCAGGAAGCAGTATTGGTTCACCAGGTGTCTGGGGCCCCAAGACTAGGAATGGCACAGGGCCCAAACTAGGAGTATAGAGCGGCGGGAGGGATGGAAGGGTGATTGCGGCTTAGGGAGTCCCGGCACAGAGGGCTGCACTATAGACTTACCCCAAGAGGCCTGAGGATAGTAGTGCAGGCTAGGAGAGTTAGTTGGTGGTGCAGGCCCAGGGAAGCAGAGAGAGGTGAGGGCGGGGCCAGGATCAGAAGCGGTGCTCCTGGAGCCCAAGAAAGGGACTGAGTTGCTCTGGGTGAGAAGGGTCAGGAAGCAAGTATTGGTTCCCCAGGTGTCTGGGGCCCCAAGACTAGGAATGGCGCAGGGCTCAAACTAGGAGTATAGAACAGTGAGGGGGGCGGGATGGAAGGGTGAATATGGCTTAGGGAGTCCCGGCACAGAGGGCTGCACTATAGACTTACCCCAAGAGGCCTGAGGATAGTAGTCAGTGGCTGTAAATTTTTAGACTCACAGTTGAATTAATACAGTTATACAATATTGAACTCAGTATAGACTCTGTAAGACATAAAATTGAATGAGTTTTTACCCTTTAAAAAAGATTTCCATTTCATTTTAAAATATGCTGTTTCCTACAGTAAGACTCATTTTTAATTCTACTAACACTTAGGTGTTTGCACATGTGTCTCTAATCTCTATGTATCTGATTATTACTAGACACAGTCGGTTACACTCAGATCCTTGGCACCTGAGTATGGATATAAAGTCATCAGGTAGATTTCAATAATAATGATTATCACCATTATTTTCATCTGTTCAATAATCTTTATGTTTTACTTCTTTTCTGAATTAGTTGTGTGTATACATACACACACACACACACACACACACACATATATATATCCTTAGCTTACCTTTTTTTATTGGATTATGTTTCTGTTTATTACTGATGCTTAGATATTTTAAAAATATATTTTTATAATTATGCATCTGTTTTCCAATATTATTTTCAAGTTTTGCTTTTTTTTTGTCTTTTTGAGCTAGGCCTAGCTGGTCTAGAACTCCCTATGTATGTAGACCAGGCTGGCCTCGATCTCACAGAGACCTGCCTGCTTCTGCCTCCGGAGTGCTGAGATTAAAGGTGAGCTATGTGCCACACAAGGTGTTTTTTTAGGGTGGAGCTTGCATTTTTAGTTTTGCCTGTGACATCCTTTCTTGAGCATGTATTTGATGTTTGGACAGTCCATCTTGTGATATTTCCTTTACACTTTAATTTTATCATATAAGAAAGTCTGTATTTCAAGATCATGTAATGGAGTTCTATTTAGTCTTAATTATTATGTCATCTTATTGTTAGAGCTTTAAACATTTTTGAATTTCTATTTTACAAATGTGAGCTAGATATTTGATCAGTTTGGGTATAAAGAATTGGTTGTCCCAGCTTTGCTGATAGTCCGTTTTCATTAAATGCCTGAGCTTGTCCACTGAGAGCAAGGCTTTCAATGATGTGCTCTCTGTACCTTTCCTTGTCTGTTTGTCCCTATAGGTAAGGTTCTATCATTTCTCCTACTTTATAGACAGGGAAAACAAGACTCGGAAAGGTAGACGGTAACAAGCAGGTGGTGGAGTCAACGTGAATGAAGAATATATACAGAAGGAGCCCAAGGAGGGTAGGGCATGGCACTGGCTATTTAAAAGGCCCTGAGAAGAATCTGGGAAACATTAAGAAGTAGTGAGCTCAGTCTTGGTCCTGCTGAGCTTTTGGACTGGATAATTCTTCCTATGGCTATGGGCGATATCTTACATATTATAGGAGGTTTAGCAACCTCTGTCTCTCCATACCTGATATCAGTAGCACCTGGCTGCCCTCGTCACCATGCACAACTCCTGGTTATTAAAGTAAGACTGTCTCCAGACATTGCTTAATGTCCTTGGGCAGGGAGACTTCTCAGTTAAGTGCCATTCATTTGGGTGATGTGAACAACTATGAAGAATCAGTATTGATTATTAACTACCACTAATACTGGTGATAGAAATGCTAATTATGAGCCAGGATCAATCCTGCTGTTCTCCCTGGTGCTGTGGCTCAGTACCCCCCTTCTAGCCATGACTTCTTGGCATTAATTCTTCCTGTTGAGTCCCCTGGCCTGCCAGAGAGGCGCCCTGCGGCTGTGTGCCACCCACACTGTGAACATGTGCACAAAATATTTTCAACATTTTGTTGACAACGAATAAAAGTGGAAAAATAAAGCTCTGCTGATGTCAAGTGATTCCTAAATGCAGATGCATTGGGGCCGAATGCCTTCCACATTCATGACACACATCCACTGGAAACACATCTGGCACTTTCAGCGCACAGCCCAGCAACTCGTTAATCAGGACCCCTTAGCTCCCGGAACACTCAGGGCTGTCAAAGGTGACATCTGCTTTCAAATTCCAAAATGCTGTGCAAGGTACAGCCTCACTTAGGATGTTGTGTAAGGCAATTGAGAACTTGTATCTTAAAGTCAAAATGGTTAGAATAGGTGTGTGACTCTCTTTATTCAGGTGATGGAAGATGACTCCCTTGCATCTTTAAGAGGCCTTCTATCAACCTCAGTTTCCCCTCTTCCTAGAGATTTTTGGAGGAACTTTGAAAGCCCCATGTAAAGTCAGGAGCCTGATGTTTGCAGATGTTACCTCACCATGCTCCTGTCCACGTCAGGTAAACAAGGCAACATGTTCTTCACCAGCTTAAACCTCAGCAACTGTGCATCTTTGTTTTACGGTACCAGAGATTTGAACTCAGAGCCTCACACAGGCTAGGAAAAGTGCCCTACCACTGAGCTGCATCTCCAGTCCCTTGTCCTTTTTCCATAAAGCTCATTCTAACCCTCCAGCCCCCACTACCACCTGCCCCACTTCTTTGGGGTCTTCTCAGCTCACCCTCCAGCCCTGTGGGAAAAGCATCAACCAGTGTGGGGTTTCCACCAGAGAACATCACAGAGTGCAGTAGGAAAGCATGGTGAACAATATCCTGTACTTATCACCCTTCTGTGCCCTTGCTGTGACGACAAGTAAACTCAGACATAGAGGCAGAGTGGAGCGGGTGGGGCGGGGCTCAGCTACCCCCTGCTGAGGACACAGAGTCCCACCTAGGTCTGGCAGTAACACAGTGTGCTGCCATCCTGCTCAATATTCAGCCTCATGTCCCTTTTGCTGGCTCCTGCCTACACAAACAGCCACCGGGCAGGTGAGGCAGCCCAGGGTGGCAGCAGTAAAGACAGTTTGGGAGCGAAGGCAGGGCCAAGTCTCATCCAGGCTGACTGCAAGAGCCACTGCCATGGACAGACTGTTGTGGGGTGCCTGTGTGCTCTGCTTGATGAACCTGTTGGGAGCTGTAAGTAGCCAGCTCAGACCTCCTGCTTCTCTGTTCTTCTGTAGCTAGGGAGTTCTTCCTGAAGGAGTAGCGACTGTGGCTGGAGAACTCCTGAGTCTGGTGGCTCCCTCCTTCTTTCCCCTGACTAGTCCCACATCTTGCCTGGGGCTGAGCTACCTCTCTGTCTCTCCACCCCCACCCCCAGAGCCTACCGGTGTTCTCTGGGGTCCCTAGAGATATATGCCCCAAGACATTGCTTTGGAATTGTAGAGGCCAGTTCAGGCCTCCCTGTCACACTGAGCCCACTCTTTCTTTAAGCTGTGCATCCCCAAGCTACCGCCTCTATCTCCTTAAAAAGCATGGCTGTGTCCTTAAAGAGTGTGTGTCTAGGGCCCCTGTGGGACCTGAGCAGTGAGTGGATAGCAGCCCTTCCAGCTCTGGCATTCAGGTGGGCTCTTCCTTTCATGATGCCAGGACTGGAGAAGCTTTGGAAACCAGCAATTTCTCCCTGGCCGTGCCTTGGAGCATTAAGGTGCCAAGAGGGAGGTCCCCATCTGAATGTGCTCCAGCTTCCTAGCAGTCTTTCCAAGTCTTTCAGAGTAGCAGCAAGATCCAGGAAAGGAGTCACAAGGTACTAGGTGGGAGCCCACACAGACTGAGGTCCTCTTCTTCCTCTAGTGCCTTGCCAGGGGTGGCCACCTACCCTAACACCTTACTCACCTCCCTCAAGCTACTCTGCTGGAATCTGGGAACCATGAAACTAGCCACGTGATCTTTAGGCCTTGGTCTCTTGTGTGAAAAGAGAAACTTGAGCAAGGTGATGTGGCTTATTCCTGCAGCCTCAGCATTTAGGAGGCTGAGGCAGGAGGATTGCCATGAATTGGGGGTCAGCCTGGGCTACATAGTGAGTTATAAACCAACCTACATAGGGAAACATGCCAGAGAGGGAGAGAGAGAGAGAGAGAGAGAGAGAGAGAGAGAGAGAGAGACATGCTCACTAGGGCTGAGTGATTTGACCTGTCAAAGGCTGGCATGTAGGTGTGGACAGCTCCTCTATGGCACAGAGATGCCCTCTTCTCTGTACATCCTACTGTGAAAGCTTCATTTGGAGGAGGGGTCCCTAGACCACAGGCAGTCATTTGACAGCTGGTATACATACCAGAGCCAGGACTAGAGCTGCCCACTGGCTCCTAGACCCTGAGGTAGGCAACTGGTGAATTCAAAGTGTTGGGTGACAGAGTCTCTCCTTGGGAGTGTTGAGGGGACTAGTGTGTGTGTGAAGATGATTTGTTAGTGACATCTGGTGAAGTTCTGAGATGGCCCAGCTTGCCAGCTCCCTTATCCCTGGTCTTCACTTGACAGCTGTCTCTGGCCACACAACCAGGCATTCTGTGTACCTCTTCTGGGAAGGGAAGGCATTTCCCTTCTATCCATCTATCATCGACTGAGCCATCCAGTCACCCAATACAGGACCCTCACTCATCCACCATGCACACACTTACCCTCAAGTGTCTATCTAGCCATCTCGTTATCTGTCTGTCTGTCTCTCTGTCTGCATAGTCATCCACTCCTCCAGCCAGCCAGGTAGTCCTCCCTCTCCCAGTTCCTCCCTCCCCCCCTCCCTCCGTCCCTCCCTTTTCCTCTCTCCCCCACTTCCCATCAAGCATGCCCTGAGCTCTGTTGGGCAGGCAGGTTGTGCTCAGGATCACGAGTCAGAAATGCATCAGGTTTGATCTCTCTCTTTTCAGGTCACTAGGGCTAGAGAGTCCAAGGCCTCCAGTAGGCTTGGCTCATCCTGTCACTCTTTCCTGCAGGCAGTGGGATACCTGTACTCAGAATGTGACTTCATCACTCAGCTCAGAGAAGATGAGCTTGAGTGTCTACAGGTGGCAGAGGGGACCACTAACACTTCCCTGGGTATGAGGAGCGGGGGAGAAGGAGTGGGAGGGGCCTTCCTGATCCTGCCCTGTCCTCCAGTCCTGTACATCAGAACACCATGCCAGTTGCTCTTGTAGGTTACCCTCTGTCTCCCTCTTCTCTACCTAGGCTGTCCCGGGACCTGGGATGGGCTGTTGTGTTGGCCTCCAACAGGGTCTGGCCAGTGGGTCACCCTCCCCTGCCCAGACTTCTTCTCTCACTTCAGCTCAGAGCCAGGTGAGTGGCCCAGGTATGGTAGGGGTGAAGAACAAGTGGTGATATATCATTGATTTGGTGACAGATCTGGATTTGAATTCATCTTTCTCTTTTCTGGGGTTACCCTGAGCAAAGGGTCAACCTTGAACAAAGACAGATGACACTAACCTCCCAGTGCAGGATCAGCAAGAACACGGAGGGGCTGGCATCCACCAAGTGCTCTCTGGCTGTGCTGCCACTGTGCTGTCAAGGGTGGAGGGCACCTTCAGCTCTGCTTCACCTACTGGTCTGTCTCTCACGAGGCGGAGGGTACCTGCTTTCTTTCCTCCTGCTCTCAGGATGTTGAGGTCCAGCCCACCACTCTCTGACCTTCAAAGGAATACTGTTCAGCAGAGGTGCCTTGGAGGCCAGAACTGGACCGGGCTGGACTGGAACCCTGGTCTCTAGAAGAGAAGTCTCCTCTCTCTCACCCTAAGCACATTCCACTGGGGCTCTTGACCACCAGGGCCTTCTTGCCATTGCTGGGAGAGGGAGTTCTGAAAGCTAAGACTCTCGCTTGCCCTTAGGGGCTGTGAAGAGGGATTGCACCATCACTGGCTGGTCTGATCCCTTCCCACCGTATCCTGTGGCCTGCCCTGTGCCTTTGGAGCTGCTAATGGAGGAGGTGAGCGGCACCAGCATCTCGGAGAAAGGCAACTGGACATTCATATGAATGGTGGACCGTACCAGCTGTAGCCACTGTAGCCATAGGGATGGGAAAATAGTTACAGTAGTTGTCCAGCAGAGGGCAGTAAAGTGTCTGACGAAGGTTGGTCTTTGGCCTATTTGCTTGAGGGTATCAAATGGGCCGCTTTGCTTTGAGGGCGAGACGAAACAGAGGGCAGGTTGTGCTGATTCCCATCTTGGCCAGTCTTTTCTATTCTCTGGTTGCCAATGCAGGGAGCCTTGGTTGTTTCAGAGAAAACAAGAGGCCACAGGCTGTGATGGGCAAAGGCTTGCTTTCTCTGGTCTTCAGGCACAGTAATGGCTGTGGCATGGGCAGTGTGCTGAACTGAAGCCAGAGTCATTACAAAGACTCCCCTGCTCTGGGCTGCACATCCCACACTGTACACAGGGCAGAGTCTGGGAGGCCTGCCCACATTCACAATAATGCCGCTCTCAGCCCCAAGAGCAAAAGCACGGGTATGACCATGTTTCAGATTAAGAGGTGCACTGGAGGGGCTCAGGGATTGCCTGAGCAGAGCAGCAGAGTTGGAGTAGTGGCCAGGTCCAGCCCAACTTCACTGCTCTGGGGACAGGCTGGACATTGACAGATGTAAATGCTTGGACCAGAAAGGCAGCTTTACCTTGCTTGCCTGCGGCTGTCTCAGTGCCCTGGCTATTACCTTTATATGGGGACCAGTCTTCCCAAGCTGGTACCAAGCTGGATGCCAATAAATTAGCCTGATTTCCTCTTGGACTTTTGTCACTCTTTAGGGACAAATAGTTTCTGTCACTTCTTCCCATGCCACAGTGAGTGCTCAACACCTCCAGTACCCCATGGGCCTCCTGTCATGGTGGTGGGATGGAATTGTGAGCTGCACCTGCTTGATTGCCAAGCCTCCCTTTCTCCAGTGGTTGAGACTTTCTTCTGCCTCTATTGCCCCCAGAAATCGTACTTCTCCACCATGAAGATCATCTATACCACAGGCCACAGCATCTCTATTGTGGCCCTCTGCATGGCCATTGTCATCCTGGTCGTTCTCAGGTTCGCCGTCCTCATCCCTTGCTCAAGAACCTTCACTGGCTATCTACTGTCCATGGACTGAGTCTGAGTCTTTGCCTAAATAGTCAAGGGGATCCCAGATCTAGTCACCGTGCCCATTTCTAACTCCTTTCCTTTTCCCAACACGGGGGCCGTCTCTTCATACACTAGACCTCAGTTTTGAGGCCACACCTTTGCTTATTCTGTTTGTTTCCCATGCCTCCTTTTTTTCTCAGCAGTGTGTCAAGATTGGAAGCCTAGCTCTCATCTGGTTCTAGGAATCCTTCTTGCCTCCTGTGTGAAGCCCTTCTGACCCCTCAACCTTCCCACCATTACAGTGCTTTTTGGTGTGGTTTTCAGTGCTGGGGATTGGATATACAGGGTCCTCTGCATGAGCTCCACTCTCAGCTCTGACCACTGGATATAACAGCTTTCCAGTCTTCAAAGACCGAGTTCCTCATGGGGCCGTGCTGCCCTCTGCTTCCGGGGACAGTTCTCTCCGATAACCCAGGGGCTCTTCTGGGCACTGTTGGGCTGTGGCTGCCTCTGTGCTCCCAGGTCCAGAGCTGTCTGAAGGCAGGGGTTGTAGTCCCCTCACTCTGTCATCTGTATCCAGTCCAGGGCGGTGCTGGCCAGCTGACCTTCGAGGTCCAAATGCCACTCTCTGTTCCCTTCTGCTCGGTTCAATTGTTCTTGAGTTCATTTGATGTGGCTTGAGCTGTTTTATCTTGGTTCACTCCCGCCAACTCCCCAGACATGCCAGACCCTGTTGCAGGTTCTGGGAAACCCCTCTGTGGCCAGGCCCCTATGCTCATCTTTCGTGTCCCCACAGGAGGCTCCACTGCCCTCGGAACTACATCCACATGCAGCTGTTTGCCACCTTCATCCTCAAGGCCAGTGCTGTGTTCCTGAAGGATGCCACCCTCTTCCAGGGGGACAGCATGGACCACTGCACTTTTTCCACTGTAAAGACTGGCTAGAGGGGGTGGGACAGGGGAAAGAGGTCAGAGGACAGGCCTGGATGTGCCTGGCCTGCTGCCACACAGGGCTGACTCTTCCTTTGTGTCAGTGACAGATTAGGGAAACCCTGAGACCTCCCCACTCCTTCACAGACCATATCAATCCAGTTGCTCCCTATGCGGTGACCACCCCACTCCTTTCATTCCTCTTCCATCCATGCTATTTCAAGATGGCCACAGGTCCCATGCCCAGCCAACCATTTCATTGCCTCTGACGTCTCCCACAGAACTGTTTGACTGTGACTGGGTATGAGTACCACAAGGGGCTGGGTGGAGCTGGGCGCCTCCTTCAAGAAGCACCCAGAGGACAGGAAGCATCCAGGTTTGGCCAAGAAAGTGGAAGAGGACGAGAGAGCTCCAAGGAGGAGTTGGCCTTGGAATAGGGTTGGTAGCAACAGTACAGAAACAGTGAGCAAGTCACCAAACCGGAAGTCATAGTGAGAGGTATGGAAGGGCCAAGAGAGGAGGAGGCTGAGGACTGAAGGGAGGGCCAGTGTGCAAGGTCTCGGGAAGTGTGTTGGAAAGTAAATGCCCAAACCAAGTAGCCGGATTTAATTAAAGAATTAATCTTTGAACACATTGCGCATTTACTCTGGGTTAGGCAGCACACCAAGTATTTTACATGTTTTATCTCCTTTGGAAGCCTTACTTTAATCCCATGTTGTTAACAAGGGGCAGCTGGCGAGGTCACCCAGCCACAGGGTTGGAGAACGGTTAGAGTTTGGGCAGCTGGGCTGAAAGATGGTGCTACTGCCCTTGTGGGCAGGTGAGCTAGGCAACAGATGGCTGCATGCATGATAGGAGCATTTTGTGTTCACTGCTGAAAGCTGTGCATGGTTATAGCTCTAAGAGGACTTCAGTTTAGGAAGGGCATGTGGCAGGGGAAACAGAGCAGTTTTCAATGACCCCTGACACAAGGCTACGAGATGTTCTGGAGTTTTTCCTTTTACAGATGGAAAACTGAGACTGAGGTGGTCCATGTGGCTGGCAGAGGGCACATCTGAACCAAGCCTGCTTGTGCACTAACCATTGGGGGCATTCCTTCTGGGGCAGCCCAAGGAGCAGGATGGTTCAACCTAGGGTGGACGGAACCTGGGAGCTTGGTATCTCAGTGAGGGTGGGGAGACTCAATGGGAGGTAAAATGGGGGCGGGAGTCTCAGCCCTGAAGCACCCAGGTCCCCAGGTCCTGTGCAAGATCTCTGTGGCCACCTCCCATTTTGCCACCATGACCAACTTCAGCTGGCTGCTGGCCGAAGCTGTCTACCTGAGCTGTCTCTTGGCCTCCACATCCCCCAGGTCCAGGCCAGCTTTCTGGTGGCTGGTTCTTGCTGGCTGGGGTGAGCACCAAAGGGGAGGTAGAGGCTGGGAAGGGCTGGGGAGTTCATAAAGAGGCCTTTCTCATTGCTGCTGACCCTGAGACCCAGGGAAGGGAAGAGACACACTGCCATCCTGTGCTGAGTATTGGGCAGTAGACCAGGTTCCCTACCCCAGGTCCTTGCTACAGTCTAAATGTGGCTAACTGAACTGGTGGGAGGTAGAGGCTGATCTCAGAGAGAAGGATTCAGGGTCATCACTGCAGTCTCCTCTTACCCACAGGGCTCCCTGTGCTATGCACAGGTACTTGGGTGGGCTGCAAACTGGCCTTCGAGAACACTGCGTGAGTAGAGGGACTTTCCTCCCTGCCATGTTGTCAGCAGGGTATAGAGTGAACTATGGAAGGAGGAGGAGTCCCTTGGAGACCTATAGGGTGGCAGGAGGGGAGATTGCCTGCAGGAGTCCAGGAAGGAGAGGCTTTCAGGGTTGTAATTGAGGAGATCAGCTATCAGCAGGCCTTCTGCAGGAAGGGCAGCACCTGGCCCACCAGGCTTCACTGAGGCTCTCCTTTAAAAGGCTGAGACAGAGGATCAGGTCAGAAGGAGGCCAACAGAAGCTGGAGACTTGAGCTCTAGAGAGGAGAGGGGCCCAGGAGCCTAGCATGGGGGTGGGGATGCACCACTACTACAGAACAGGGGCACTGTCAAGCCTTGGCTGTCTTCTTCCAGGTGCTGGGACCTAGATGACAGCTCCCCATACTGGTGGATCATCAAAGGGCCCATCATTCTCTCCGTTGGGGTCAGTCTCTGAGGCGAGGGTCCTTTGCTTTATTCAGCCATCCTCCAGGCTCCTCTATGTGGCCCTGCAGAGCGGGCAGCACAGCTGTTGGCAGGGAATCAAGAAGCTGCTGCTGGCTTCCCTGACAGCCTCTCTAGGTCACAGTCACTGGATGGTTAAACTGGGGGCTCTCTCAGCACCCAGGCCCTCTGGCTCTTAGCTTCACGTGTCTGGCTGCAGGCTGCACAGCATCTCCTGTTGAGGTGGGGAGTGTGGAGGGGATGATGCCTACAGGAGAGTACTCACCTGTTCCTACTCCTAAGTCTCAGGGCTCCTGTGGATGTGTGAATTCTTCCCAGCAGAGCAATTGCTCAGTGATGGAAAGTAGCTAGAGGCAGGTGATCAGGCCTGACTCACCCCTGGTGCCAGGGCTGGGGAGGGGGAGAACTCTGAGCCCTCTCATCTCCAAGGTCCCTATGTGGGACCTACACATCTCCAGACCACACATTCTGGAGTCATGATCTATGCATCCACCCATGGCACATCCCTGTATCTCAACAGTATGGGGCTCCTAGTCCCCAAAGGGCCTGTTGTCTATTACGGCCTGTGACCTACTCTAGGTCACCCAGTGCCACCCCTGACCTTTGCCTCCACCTTCCTGTGCCTCATTTTCAGGTGAACTTCGGGCTGTTTCTCAATATAATCTGCATCCTGCTGAGGAAACTGGAGCCTACACAGGGCGGACTCTACACACGGGCTCAGTACTGGTACTGTGTGTGTGTGTGTGTGTGTGTGTGTGTGTGTGTGTGTGTGTGAGCGGAGAACACTGGAGCCTACACGGCGGGCTCTCTACACGCGCTCAGTATTGTTGGTGTGTGTGTGTGTGTGTGTGTGTGTGTGTGTGTGTGTGTGTGTGTTGGGGGGACTTTCAGAGAAGGCACCTGGAGGGAATGCCATGTATTTGTCTCTTCTGGAGGTATTTAGGACCCTGGTCCTGTCCTCTTCCCTGTCCCCAGAGAGAGAATAGTTCTGGTCCCTGCTTCCCAGGAGACCATAGTACAGGAAAATGGGGATGTGAAACTGCTAGTTACCATGGTAAATGGCTAATAAGTGCGACATTTGTTCCTATGGGGGTCTGGAGAGGGAAATTCTGTCTCAATGGGGAAGAGGGGTGCCAGGTAAGTCTTCTTCGAAGAAGTGATCTTTGAACTAGACTTTGACACATGCACATAGACATTGGAGTAGCAGGGATAAGACATTACCACAGCAGAATGAAATAAGGGCAGCTAGGGCCTTGTGGAGAGAACAGAGTCTCTATGATTGCTAGTCAGCAAGTGGATATGGAAAATGGTGGGCAGCCTTTGAGCCTAGGATTTGTCTTCCCCAAAGGCGTCTCTCCAAGTCAACACTTCTCCTCATCCCACTTTTTGGGATTCACTACATCATCTTCAATTTCCTGCCTGACAGTGCTGGCCTGGGCATCCGCTTCCCCCTGGAGTTAGGACTGGGCTCTTTCCAGGTGAGGCCCCCACAGGTACACCTTTCCTTCAAGGACTCTGGCAGCTTTACGATAGGGTAAGGCTTACTGTTTTCCATCCATCTGTTCAACTATCTATCTCTCTCTCCATCTTCCATTCATCATTATATCTCCTTATTTATTCATAAATTCAACTCCCTCCCCCACCATACATCCACCCTTTCACCCATCCATACATCCAACCATCCGTCTACACATTCATACAGTTACCTACCCATCCATCCATCCACCCACCCACCCATCCATTCATCCATCCACATCTATGGGTCCATCTATCCATACACATCACATCATCCGTATATACATGCACTTATCCATCCATCCATCCATCCATCATCCATTATAAATTCATCAATCTATCCTTCTTTCCTTCCAGTTACCCTACCTATCCATCCATCCATCTATCCATCCATCCATCCATCCATCCATCCATCCATCCAGTACACACCTCTCTGTCCACCCACTCATCCATTCATCCATCCATCCATACACTTACCTACCTATCCATCCATCATCCCTTATCCATTCATCAATCTGTCTTTACTTCTAGTTATCCTACCTACCCACTCATTCACCCATTCATCCACCCACCCACTTACCCACCCATCCATATCCATTATCTATCCATTGATCCATCCATCCTTCCTTCCATCTTTCCATCCATCCACCTGTTATCTGTTTTGATCCATCCATCCACCTATTTTTCCATCCATCACCCTCCAACATCCACCCATCTATCATTCATCTATCCATCCACCTATTTTTCCCTCCTCCCATCCATCCTCTAACCATTTATCCATCCATCTTCCTACCTTCAAACCATCCCCACCCACCCATCCAGCATTCCATCCACCTAACCACTCACCCACCCACCTATTCATTCATCCATCCACCCATCTGTCCATCCTTTCTTCTATCTTTCATCCATACATTAATCATTCATCTATATATCCATTCTTCTATTCACCATCTAGCTTCAATCCATCCATCCTTCCATCCACTTTCTTTCCTTCATTCCTTCCATTTGCCATCCATCCACCTATCAATCAATTCTTCCTTCCTTTAATACATCCATCCATCCATTTTTTTCAGTTTTTACTGAGCATCTATTATATGACAGCCAACGTGTTCACTAATGCAGATGCAGAAATGAAGTCAGAAATGGGGCTACTCATGCAGCCTAGCATCTGTGCTGTGATGATTATATAACTTGATGTGTCTGGTGCATAGTGAGTGATGAGTGGGGGTGGGTAGGGAGATGATAGTAGTAAGATGGGTACACCTTGAGATCAGGCCAATGAGCCCTTTCTCTTTGACCCCACAGGGCTTCATCGTTGCTGTCCTCTACTGCTTCCTCAACCAAGAGGTGTGTGATGCTCCCAATAGATTTCCTTCACACATTCAGAAACCCTTCCCCTCAATCCTAAGGCTCCTTTTCTCCTATAAATCCCACCCCAGGCTGATTCACATGGTCTTCTGCTTTCATGAGCCTTTGTTCATGAGCTCCTGAACCAAGCTGAACCTACATGCTTTCTGAACACCTTGTACACATGCCTCTTCTGAGCTGAGCCAGGTTATACTGACAACTGTTGAGGAGGTGGAAGAGGTCGTTTAGGGGTCAAGGAAACTTGGGGAGAGAGTAGACCAGTTGGGGGAGAGGACAAAGAGAAGAATCAAAAAGGCGGAGGTCCCTATAGAAGAAAGTAGAAAAGGAGTCAGATGCAGACAGGGAGGAAGAGCCAGAGCAGAGCAGGAAACAGAGAAATCCCAAGAAGACAGGGACCCTGAGACTAGGGTGTCAGACGTGGAGGCAAGCAGACAATTAGAGGCCACAGCACATGCAGGACTATAAGAGGTCACCCAGAAGACCCCGAGGGTTCTCCCCTTGGGACAGTCCTGCTATACAGAGCTGTGGAAAATTCAGGCCTCCAGGTCCCTGGCAGTGCGCACAGGCAGGGTCATATCTCCCCCTGGTGGCCATGGATTTGCAGTGGGCTTTGTGTTCTGGATGATTTGTACCTTATTCCTCAGAGGTAGACGTTTGTTATCTCACCAGTCACCTCTGCCCCCAGCCTATGCTCTGCCCTTTCTCTCAGTGCCCCCAACCCCGGCTCTCTGATTTTTTTTCTTCCTTATCTTTGATGCCAACACGGGACCACAGTAGCTGAGTGTTTCAGATCACAAGTCATGAGGGTCCTGGAAACTCTGGGAGGGGTGAGGAGCAGCCCTGGCTAGGGCTGAGGGGAATCTGTCTTAGGAAGCAATGCTGTCGACGGGGTAGGTGGTCATATACCATTGGTGACTGGGAGCTCACTTCCTTGCAATCATGCTTTCTGCTCTGAGGAAGCAGCTGTGGGAGGATTATCTTTGTGCTGAAAAGAGATTGGTTTTCCCTTTATCTTTCATACAGCCCAAGGTCAGCTATCAGGTAGTCTCTCAGCTCCCTCTGCCCCCAAAGACTGGCCCTTGCCTCTTCCCAACTCTTTCCTTTCAGTCACATCCTCTGGCCTTGCAGACTTAAACTTCAGGGCAAGAGTCAGTCAAGGTCACTCAGAGAGGACAGCATGTGATTGGGCTAGAAGGTGAAGACAGCACCTGAGTGTTTGACTGGATTCAGATAAAGGCAGTGCCGAAAGGAAGAGAAAAGTGCTAAAGACAAAGGTCAGAAGCAATCAGAGGGAGGACGAAGGAGGGAGCAGCTCCCTCTAGAGCCTGTACATGGCAGGGCCTGTCCTTACCCTGCCCTGTTTTTCCCACACTGCATCCCCCAGCACCTTCAGTCCAGCAGTGGAGTGGCAGTGGGACCTTCCTAACCTCCTCTCCCTTGTCTTTGGAGGTGAGGACGGAGATTTCCCGGAAGTGGTATGGCCATGATCCTAAACTTCTCCCTGCCCGGCGGACCTGTGCTGAGTGGACCACGCCTCCCAGGTCCGGGGTGAAGGTGCTGACTTCTGAGTGCTAGGCCAGCCACATCGCACATCAAGGGCTCGGCCTCCCCTATCTCTCCAAGCTGCTCTGGGCAGGATGATCCTTCCTCTCACTCTCTGAGTCTATCTTTCGCTGGGTCCCTGTATGCCAACTTCTGACTTCCTCAGTTTCAGTGTCTGTCCTCATATGTTCTTTCCTAGGGTCTAGGGCTATAGCCCAAAGCCCAGAAGAGCTAATAAACTTGTACATGAATGATTCGTTGTTGAGTCAATGCAGCTCCAAAGGGGAGTTCTCATCAGCCGCTGTTATTTGCACTTCCACTTCCGGTGCGGGCCTCGTCTTCAGCTCCAGCTGCCTCACCATCATTTGTCTCAGCAAGGAGTCTCATGTTTTATTTATTTTAGCAAGCACTCCCTTTTGTCCAAGCCCCCTTCTATTCCCCTCCTCCCACAGGCAAAGCTATGAATCTTTACATTTCTGTGTGTCTTGCAAATGTAGCTTATGCCATGTGTCTGTATTTGAATTCACAAAAATGCTATCGGTTATATACCTCGTTCTGCTTCTAATGTTTTCCCCCAGCACTGTGCTTTTAAGAACTCCACTGTGTTGATATATACATCTGGTCTACTGTTTGGACTGTGCACGGTGCCACCTGATGCCATTGCCTGTGGGCTACCCAGGCCCCCTCCCTCTAGGTGAGCACCCATCTGTCTGTCCTTCCATGAACTGTGCTACAAGCCTTTCTCCAGGACTCACATCCAGGAACAGAGCCCTAGGACATCTGTCACACCTCTTCTTGATGTGACTCAGTAGTACCAGATTGCAGGCTTGCAAATTGGCACCCCAGCAACCCTCAAGGTTCCCAAATCCCTGCACCCCCGCCAACACTTGACATTATCTTGCTTTGTAATGTTTGCAAGCAAAACGGGTGCAAAGTGACGGCACATTATTGTTGTTCTCGTTCTCTCTTCCCTGCTGTCTAACAAGTGTGAACAGCTCTTCTCAGGCTTGCTAGCCGTTTGGGCTTGTTTTGGAAACTGCTTGTATCGCAGAGAGTCCTCAGCTTTCCAGCTTTCCCTTCTCTTTGTGTCTTGGGTTAGTTAGATTTCTCATAACAGTGAAAAAAAAACCTAAAAGAAACAACTTATGGGATGGAGGATTTATTGTGGCTCGTGGTTTGAGATGGTACAGCCCACCAGGGTGAGGCGGGCATGGTGGCAGAAGCAGTTCACACTTGGGGCAGTGGGGGTGTGAGGTGGCTGGTTTCACTGCATGGGCAGTCAGGTGGAGAGCTTGGGCTGGAACCAGATCAAGGCAAGGCTGTAACCCATTACATCCGTCCTCCTGTGAGTCACCTCCTTCACCAGGCCTCACTGTTAAAGGTTCCACAACCTCCCCAAAGTGTGCTACTAGCTGGGGTCAAGTGTTCAAACACATGAACTTGTGGGGGACATTTAACGTTTAAACCCTAACATGTGCTAGTCTGTGTCCTAGCCTGCTGTCAGCTGCCCTGCTCAATGTAGGCTCCCTCAGTGCCACTCAGTCTCACCCTCCATCATCTTCCACCCTCCTTGACAAGAAGAAGGAGATAGAGAATGGGTGCTGTCCTTGGGGACCTGTTTACTGACTGATGAGGGGTGGGAGATTTCAGCAGGAGTATCGGAAGACTTGCACAGGGTGTAGGTCAGCATGAAGCTCCTCCCTTCTTGTTCTACCACAGCAGACATAGTTTGTAGAGCCCAGCCCCACTCCAGCAGGAAGCCTTGCCCCATGTATCAGTTCCTTTTCTGTTGCTGTAAGACACCATGGCCAAGGAAACTTATAGATGGAAGAATTTGTTTGGGCTTATGGTTCTACTGGTAAGGGTCCATAATGGTAGGGAGGCGTGGTGGAGGGAGGTGGCCAGAGCAGAAAATCAATCGATAACATCATCAACTAGGCAGGGGAAACAGGGAGTACCTGGAAACCTGGCAAGACTTAAGAACTCTCAAAGCTTACCCCCATGACATGTTTTCTCTATCAAGGCTGCACCTCCTAAAACCTTTTCAAACAGCGCCACTAACTGGAGACAAAATGCCCAAACACTTGGAGCCCACAGGGGACACTTATGCAAACCACCACACAGTACTACATGGCCCTCCCCGCCATTTCTCTCTATATGATGCTCCGAAAGTTAAGATCTTCTCCTTCAGGCTCTACCAACTTGACTGATGGCCAGGTGTCATTTGCCTTGTCCCAGATTTTGCTGCTCCTCCTGGCTCTAGGACCCCCTGAGATCCTTTCTGCAGTAAAGATCTGCTCACCCTGCATTGCCAGCCGTCGAGGTGGCTTTGATTATCAACTTGACACACCTGGGAAGAGGGAGCCTCAATTGGGGACTTTCCTCTATTAGATTGGCCTGTGAGGCATTGTTGAGTGATATAGGAGGACCTGGAGCACAGTGGCCAGGTGAGCCTGGGTTGTAGAAGAAAGCAGGTTGAGCAAGGCCAGAGAAACAAGTCAGTAAGCAGCCTTCCTTACAGTCTGTACTTCAGTTAGTGCCCCTAGGTTCCTGCCTGACTTCTCTCAAAGGTGGACTGTGATGTGGAAGTGTAAGATAAATAAACCCTTCCTTCCTCAAGTTTGTTTTGGTCAGTGTTTTTATCACAGCAATAGAAACCAAACTGGGACAGCAGCTTTCTTATCCAGGTTTCCTTTCCTGTGCCCTGGGAACAGGCCAGGCTGCTGGTGTGCAGGTGTGCCTGGTGGCAGAAGCTGAGTTTCCCCTCACACTTAAAAGGGCTATATTGAGGGGTACAGTCATATGAAATCCTTGATACCCAGCCTGCAGGGCACCTGCCTGAGCAGGCAAATGTCAAATTCACAGAGTGGCCCAGTCTAAAGGCCACTGTACCTTCCTGCCTTGGGCCTCAGATCCCACCTGCATTGCCACTATCTGAGGCATACAAAGGGATTAATAAGAAAATTTAAGAAACAACTATAATCAGACACAAAGGCATTCAATGAGTTCTTTTATTTCCTGAAAGATTTTTCCTCAGCATTTTGGAAACATTTATAAGTTTGAATCTTGCCTTTATGCTTAAAAATAACGGGTGTACTATTCAAATGGACGATAAATGCATAAAACAGTGATCAATATTAGTCACTGGGAAAGTGGCAGTCAAACACACACTGAGACATTATTTCCCACTTAGAATGAGGGGGACATGAAAAAACTATACAAAAACAAGTATCGGTAAGGATGTAGAGCGACTGGAACTCGGTGCTGGTGGGAGTGTAAAATAGTCATTTGCTTTTTTGGCAAAATGTTTAACAGTTCCTCAAAAAGTTAGCACGAGTTGCCTAGTAAATACACTGTAGTACGCACCCAAGAGACTGGAAATGTTATGATCCTAATCTCATTATTCATATAGTTAGGTGGAAAAAACCCAAATGTCCTCCAGCTGACGACTGGGTGAGAAAAGTGTGGCATATGCATAACTCCATCACAAAAGCAGCAGATCACCAAAACACTCCAACACGCACAGATCCCAGGGTTCTGTGCGTCATGAGAGGCGTGAACTACAATGATTCCACTTACGTAAAATGCGCAGCATCGGCTGAGGAGATGGGAGGCTGTCAGGGCTAAGGGAGAGACATGGCAGTGACTGCTGATGGCTATGAGCTTTCTTTCTGAAGTGACAAAGATTCTTAAATTAGATAGTGATGGTTGTGTTCTATAGAAAACCATGGGCTGGCACACTGTACAATCTCCATAAAACTATTACTTAAAAGTATTTAGTGGCTTGGGGAGATAGCTCAGTGGGCAACAGCACTTGTCACACAAGCCTGAGTTCAATCCTCAGAATCCATGTGAATGTGGAAGAAGAGAAGGAATCCAGAAAATTCTCTGATCTCACATATGTCACACTGTGGCACACACACACACACACACACACACACACACACACACACACGTACTCTCTCTCTCTCTCTCTCTCTCACACACACACACACACACAAGTGATCCCCAGAGCAAGCTGTCTAGCCAGACAAGCCAAATTAAGATCTGGGTTCAAATGAGAGAGCCTGTCTCAATATATAAGGTGGATGGCGATTGAGTAAAACACACACACACACACACACACACACACATGCACATGCACACAGGCACACAATTTAAAACAATTACTAAGTGGGTATTACCAAAGAATATTTGCAGACATTTTTTTTTCTGTCATGGAGTTTGCAGTCTATATGCTGTTTATTTAGCTGATAATTACTTAACCAACTTTCTCTTGGTAAAGATTGCTTCATATTTTGAAGAGCTGATGATAAACTTTCCCATATGAAATTCTTCATGAATGTTTCAAAATGACAGAAACCTTCAGAATAAACACCAAGAATTTCAGACTCAATTTTCCTGAGATCTAGAATTCTTGCACCAAAGCAAGTTACCTCCTGCAAAGCTGGCCTAGCACATTCTTCCACAACAGTGCAAACATGACATCTTTTCTGTGTTGTTCTTGTCAAAACACATTTCACTAACATTCTAACTGATCTTGACACTGTCAGTAACCTTATCACAATGATATTAGCTGTTAGTGCTAGTTAGCCTAGATAGTATTCACATGGGTTATTAATTAGTGGTGAGTGGCTAGTTAGTGTTTGAAATTAGAGGTTGGTGTTAGTTGATGTGAGTGCTGACAGTTAGTGGTTAATTGAAAGTCAACGTTAGCGGCTACTTAATGGTTAGTGACAGTAAATGCTAGTTAGTGGCCAGTTGATACTAGTGTGATAGTACTTAGTGAATACATACCCAGTGAAGCTCAGGCTGCGGGCTGGGGAGACAGACTTTGGGAGTTGTCCATCTGTCCCTAGGGTTTCACTGTGGTTCCAAGTCTGCCACTTGCTCCCTTTCGATTTCATCTGGAGCTTCAATTTCCTGCCACCTCTTTATAATCTCCTCCATGATGGGAATTTGTGGCCTTGGAATATATCTCATATGTGGGCTCTTGGCATTTCCTGACTATCAAACGCTTCCCTCTCAGGGTCTCGCCTTTCCCTCTCTGGCAGGAGG